TGACGCCACCGATCCGGAACTCGGCCAGGGCCCGGCTCATCTTGGAGGCTGCCGTGGGGTGGTCCTTGCCGTGGGCGATGACCTTCACCAGGAGGGAGTCGTAATGTGGGGAGATGACAGCCCCCTGGAAAGCCGAGGCGCTGTCCAGACGGATCCCCATGCCTTCTCCGCTCCGGAAGACCTGCAGGAGGAGGAGGAGGAGGAAGGAGCAGCAGGTGAAGAACGGAGTGGTAATTCGAACCCAGGCCTAGTCCATCCTTATAACCACTAGGTGACCCCATCTCTCACACCAGGCTTTCAAGTCGTGGAACAAGGACCTTGCAGGCTTTTCAAATGAAGCAGGGGTTGTCCCTGCCAGCCTGCATGTAAATCTTCACTTGTATTTATTTGACATATTATACCCAGCTTTTTCCCCGAAGTGGGACCCAAACAGGCTCATAACAAAGTTGAGACACATAGAAAGCAAAGATGGAGAGAGGGGGGGGTGAGTGTCAAAATGCAGTTAAACCAATTATAATATCAAAACACTTTTAACTATAAATCAATGTGAAAGTATGTTTAGAAAAAGGATGGAACCAACCAACGAAAAGCCAGTCAATAGCTGACAATGTGACAGAATAAAAGGGGTTCATCTGCCAGTCATGAGGGGTACCAGGGAGGGGAACAGCCTCGCCTAACCTCCCTTAGCCTCCTGTGGCAAGGAGTTCCACAGGCCGGAGCAGCCATTGAAAAAGCCCTCTCTTGGATCTTCCACTGACCCAAAAATTGGCCTTTGTGGGTAATGAGATGAAGACGACTGCCTTTCTACTCTGAGTAACACACCATATCCTGATTCCCACAAGGACAAAATCAGAAACTATTCCAAGGATTTAAAGCAGAATTGCAATCCATCCCATGCAAGTGGGGGAAGCACGGAGCAGGGGGCTCGTGGGCCAGCTTTGGGCCGCCTTCGGAGGGTGGGGGGCATCTCTGCCCAGGACTTGCCTGCCACCCCCCCCTCCTGCTTAGGTCAGGCTCCGTTTGCATCTTGACTCAGCTTCCTAAACCGGAGTTTTCTACCCCGTCCCGTCCCGTCCCATCCCCCTCGTTCTGCTCCCAGTCCGAGTGGCCAAGGAAAGGCCCCAGAGGGCACGGGGTGTGTGTGTGTCAGGCCAGTCCCGGCTGCCGCAGAGGAAGAAGAGGGGAGGGGAAGCGCAAAGACCCCCCCCTCCGCCAGACCCTCCTTCTGGAGGCCGACGAGAGGAGTGGAGCTCTGCTCTCGCTCTCCCCCCCCTTCCTGCTACACACACAGCCTGGCACCGACGCTGCGCCCGGGTCTGCGGGAGACGTTAACGGGAAGGGACAAGGCCCTCCGGAGGCGCATCCGGCCCGACCCTGCGCGTGCCAGATCGCGTCACGTCACCGGGCGTCCAAAGTCGTTGCCCGGGAGCGGCTTCTTATGGAGAGGGCTCCTCGCAGCCCCGTGAGGCGCCCGTGCGCCGGGTGAGGGCACGTGCCGACCCTCGCTCACCCCGGCCGCGCTCCTGGAAGAGACGGGGCTCCCGGCAGCAAGAACCCTTCACCGAGGAGGCCACAGAAGAAGAAGCAGCAGCAGCGTCTTGCTTCTCTTGAGGAGAATAAACGCCTGGGTCAGCCATGGCAAGCAGGGCAGAAAATACCTTCTGGAGACAAGGTGTCTAATGTTCCTTCCCCTTGGTGCAGCTGTTGCAACTATCGGCCTTGTTCATCGAAAACCTTCCTGACCCGGCCTGCTGGCTGACCGTCAGGGTCAGGGTGGCGGTGGCGGTGCCTCCTTGCCCGCCTGCCTGCCCGCCTGCCTGCCTGGGGCGGTGGCGCCTCCTTGCCTGCCTGCCTGCCTGCCTGCCTGCCGGGGGTTCAGCAGCAGATACTCACAACGGGGGAACTGTGTCTGGTTAACCCATTCAAAGGGGGTTCAGCAGCAGATACCCACAACGGGGAACTGTGTCTGGTTAACCCATTCAAAAGAGATCAGTTCCGTGTAGTCACATCGGAAATGACTCGCAGCGATCCTCAAAGGGTTTTCAAGGGAAGTGGGCCATCTAAGGAGAGGTTTTACCTCTGGTCACACACACACCCCCCAGTGAGTTCCCTTGGCCGAGGAGGGATTTGAACCCAGGCCTCCCAAGCCCCACTCCGCCAAAGCGAAATTCTTAAGATAGCCCATTTTCCATGAAGGATCCCACCCATTTCGGCTCTCCTTTCTGCAGCTCAGCCGGGACCCTCACACCTGCCTTCTCCCCCCCCCGCCCCGCGGTCCGCACCACCATCGAAGGCGTGAGGAAGGGAAAGCCCTGTGGGCCAGTCTCCTCCCGAGGAAGCGCACCCTCCAGGAGCCACGGCCTGAGGGTGGCGTGGCTGCAGTCCACGAATCCTGAGCGGCGAGCGCATGCCTCCGGATCACCGGGAGGGGAGAAATGGCAGGCCTGGCCCTCGGCAAAGGGCGCCATGACAGGGACGAGCGCAGGAGGCAACGGGCTGGGCTTCACCCGTCAAACCGCCCGCCTGCCGAAGCACCAGGCCAGGGTGAGCACAAAGAGGAGGAAGGAATTAACGGTTCAGTTGGGTTTTGTAAAAATACCCCATACATTATCCTGACAGCTTCATTGTAATGACCGTTTCTGCCCTGTGCTTTTAGGAGGCAACGTGTCCCCTGCTTTACGGATGGGCTGGGGCACCAGGGGAGGGGGGGAGCCAAAGGGAGAGCCCCATGGCCGACCAACCGACCAACCAGCCAGTCGGCCGGCCTTCTTCCCTCGTGAAGTATGAATGCCCCATCTCTCCAAAGGAAACGACTTGATCCTCGACCGCGGACGGCTGATGACTTCGCAAGCCCCACCCGGGGTGTCAGCGGCTAAATGCCTCCCCGGCCGCGGCACATGGAAACCTATAAAGGACATGACAAGATGTGCATTGTCGACCCTGCGGTGTCAGGCCTGGGAAGGGCGCCGCCATCCCCTCCTGGGAGGACGCGGCCTGGATCCTGCACGGAGGAGGGAACACAGCAAAGTCACACTGGAAACGCCCCTGGCCAAGAATGGCCGAGGAAGGAACCACGCGGCAGGACAGCGGGGCTGAGCTGAATGCCGGGCAGGTTGTTCGAGAGACGACAACGGCGACCCTATCGTCTGGTCTGCTGTCCTTTTCTTGGGCGTCAGGCGCGTCTCAATCCAGCCTCCCGGGCACTTCTCCTCCTTGCCTTTCTCTTCCTATTTAGGTTACCTTGAATGATCAGCTGTAACAAACTGTGCTTTTTCATTCCTCGGTGAGGCATCACCAAAGCAACCCAGCTTTCTGAGTTTTCTATGTATTTCTGTATTCATTCATTCCAGTCCTTCTTCAGGCGTCCACTTGTTCTGTCCCTTGTGACCCATCGTGGTTTTCGAGCCGTTCCGCCTCTTCTCACGCTTGCTTGCGTTCGAGTCCTTGATTCCAAAGCAGACAGTAGGACTTGGCTCACGCCGGGCCCCCAGTCGGTCGTGCACGGCGCTTCCTTCAAGCCCATTTTCTATTTTCCGCTGCCTGCTGTGCTCTCTCTCTTTCCCTTTCTCTCTCCCTCTCCCTCTCTCACTCTCACTCAAGGCCACCTCGCTCCTGATTTCCATTGTGTGGCGTTGTCTTCCCCTGCTCATTCAACCCCATTTCCAAGCACGAAGGACTGCCAATAGAGACGCCACACGGATTCCATCTTGGTTCTTCTTCATCTGCATCTCCTCAGAGCCATGTGGCTTTTCTCCCTGAGAGACGAAGCAGGAGGCAGACGGAGCCAAGCCGGGGCTTTCTCTCCCAAAAACCCATCTCAAAGGAAAGCAACTTCTTCAGGGGGCGGGCGGGGGGGCACCCTGGGATGATGGCGTTCGCCCAAGGCCACGCAGGCGGGTGGGGATGCAAAGTGGGGGTTCGAACCCCAGATGGGAAGAAAAGGGGGGCTCCTGGCATCACACCAGAGGGGAGAAGGGGTCTCAGAGCGCACACAGGCCCTTGTGTGCCCGACGAGGGAAGCCCCAGCCCCAGAAGCACCCTCGGATGTGCTTGCCTGCCTAGGATCCTTCCTCGCCTCCTCCTCCTTTCTCTTCCTCTTCCACACCAGAGGAGCCTCTTCAAAACAGGAGAAGCCAAATTATGCAAAAGCGTTATCTATGCAAATCAGCCCAATTGCCATGCTCCGCAGCAGAAAACATCTGTTTCCGTGCCAGGAAGGAGGATCTGGGCATTTAAAAACGCAGCTCAGGACGTGACCGGCATCAAAGGCAGCAGCTGCAAAGGCTTCCTTGCGCTGGGACCCCTGACTGGCCGCCCGTCCTCTGAACAGAGGGATCCCCAAGATCCCGGCGAGTGACAGGAGCCCCGTCAGGGGGTCAGAGCGAGTCTGAAGTGGTGGGTCACTCCCCCTTGGCCAGTGGGGCACAGAGGACAGGAGAGTGTCAGCGTGGGGCGCAGGAAACCTCGGCTCTAAACCCCACTTTGGCCGGTGGCAGTGGGTCAGCCTGGTTCACTCCTGGCCTGGCCTGCCTCACAGGGCTGTCGTTCTGGGGATAAAGTTCTGGCCCTTGTGGACCGCAGCCCTCTAATGGCCTCCACAGAAATGGGTATAACCCTAGGAAAATCTGTCTTTGAGCTCCATAAGCCTCCTGGGCGGTTCTGCT